TTCATCCTCAGAATAAGTGTAGATATATATTCTTATGCTTTGTCTCATCAATTTGCTAAGAAGAATAAAATAAAAATGTAGTTTATAATAATTTTCAAATGAACACATGTTCACTAATAGTGTTTCCTCAAAGTTAGCTATAACTTTTCTTTTGCCTCAATATACTACTAGAGTCAAATGGTAATAAATAGTTGGAAATAGCAAATATTTGGAGATTAAAACGCTGTAAAGACTATAATGAAGCTAAACTCCATTTAAGTATTTTTACATCTTCTACAAAATAGTATATTAGGTAAGAATCTGACTTTAATTTCTATTTCAAGAAAAATAAAGCTAATCATGTGGTACTATTCTAAATGCTTTTCATATAGTAAATTCTTATTCATTTAATACATTTTATACTTTATATTTTTTATCCCATTCCATAAGATTTCCTTACTAATTCCTGAACTAGGAATCTTTTAATCATTGTAGTGTTTGGGTTATAAATTAATCCATGATAGAACAAAGAGACACCTCTTTATTATTTCAGTTTATCTAAATTTCTTGGCTTCTTTCAGGCAAAAATTGGAATGATTTTGTAAAGTTTCAAAAATATCTACTGGGGCTTTTGTATTAAATTTCACTAAACACATAAGCTAGTATAAGAAGCAAATTGTTTCCTCTCCAGGATCATCATAGGTGGGTTTTTTTTTTCTGTATTTGATTTTAAGATATTTCTCTGTAATTTCCCTAAATAATCTATTTATATGCTTATCATATCTCATATTTTATGTTTATATAGAGAAATCATTGACATTATTTTAAATGTCCCCAACATTTCTTCCTTATGTTAGTTTAAGAACAGTTTATTGAAGAGCTTACTACATAAACAGCAGAACAAATTAGCAAATGAATGCAGGTCTCTAAGATGAAATGATCCTGAATAGTTGGTTTCCAGTTTTCATCATGGAAAACTAGTTATCTTTTAGTTGACTAATTGGGCAAGCAGGATATCAGTGCTTTTTATCCTGTTGTGCCTACAGAGCTACTATGCTCAGTGACAGTTTCTTTCTAGTCCACCAGTATATATTCAATGGGACTAGAAGGTCCTGTTAGAAGCACCTCAATAGTGCTACAGTTAAAACTCCCACAGCCTCTCTTGCTCTACCATACTAACCCATGCTTCATTCTCACAGTTCAAAGCTTCTCATCCCTCTGCAATAGACTCCTGCAAATGTCCTCACATCACTAACTTTCACATTTACTACAGCTGGAATAATCCTCCTGAAAGTCAAATGGGACCCTGACATTTCTTTTAGTCTAAACATAGGATAAAATGAACAACATCACTCATGAAGGACACACTCATGAAGGACACACTTGACATATTTCATAGTCCTGTCAGCAGCTGATCACACAGATATAAATGGGATTTGGACGAATATCACTGTTGGGACAAAGGTCCAATTATTATCCTAGGCCACTTTCTAGAGCCCTGACAGCTTGACCTCTTGCTGCTCCCTCACCTGTTTCCTGGCACCCAGCCACACTAGACCCTGAGAACATAGCTTGTCTTTGCTCATGCTCACCATCAGCTAGGATGCTCCTCATAGCACAAGCTGTCCCCTCCCTAAATGTACTATTCAGTGTTATACATGATATGAATCTGGTCTCTTTCCACATCCCTTTAACACCGTAGATAGTAGAGCTAACTGCTCTCTCAATTATGACCCTCTAAGTAGTTAGTAACTTTGGTAGTTAACTGTGTACATTTCTGACTTCTGGGTTCCACTGTGCTTGTGCTGTGACTGGGCACTGACTTGGCCAACTTCTGATGTGTACATTCAGCACATTTTCTTGCAAATAAATCCTGAAGAGCTTAATTTGGGAGTGGGGAATATCAGAAAGGGAAAGATAGTGTTCAGGCCATGATTTTTTTTCTAATAAATATGGTTGTATTCTTTCAACATAAAACTTCAACTTTTTCTTTTGTATTTTAGAGCTCTTCTATGCTACTCAGCTCTAGTGAATATAGCTTAGAGGCATCACAAGGTGCCAGAAATTGGGTTGGATTTGGATTCTGAATCTGGTCTTATTCCATATCGGCTGTGTAAATTTGAACAACTCACATACCCTTGGTTTTTTTTTTTTGTTGTTTTTTGTTTGTTTGTTTGTTTTTGAGACAGGGTTTCTCTGTGTAGCTTTGTGCCTTTCCTGGAACTCACACTGTAGCCCAGGCTGGCCTTGAACTCACAGAGATCCACCTGCCTCTGCCTCCTGAGTGCTGGGATTAAAGGTGTGCGCCACCACCGCCCGGCTCTCACACACCCTTGTAAGATGTGGCCTTCTGTACTTAAACAGAAACATCTCCATAATTGCTTTCTTTTGGAGAGTGTGTGACCTACAAATATAAGAAGCTGAAAATGGCTTATAAGAACATGTGTCAGTTTCATTGTGGTTATTTTTATATGATTTTGAAGACAGCAAACTATTTCTATTTCAGAGATGATAGAAACTATTTTGGAGGATTAAATCCTGTGCAAATGTATGTTTGATTCTTTGTTTCTTTTCCTTTTTAAAAATGAATGAAGTTGGGCAGTGGTGGCACTTACCTTTAATCCCAGAACTCTGGAGGCAGAGGCAGGTAGATATCTATGAGTTCAAGGGCAGCCTGGTCTACAAAGCAAGTTCCAGGATAGCTAGGGTGACACAGAGAAATCCTGTCTCAAAAAAAACCAAAACCAAAACAAAACAACAACAACAACAAAAAAAACCAAAGAAAAGAAAATGATGCTTACATGTAAGACTGTCTAAAGGGAAGAGAGATGGCTTAGCAGTTCAGAGCACTGACTGATGTTCCAGAGGACCTGGGTTCAATTCCCAGGCCATCAGGTGTTCGATCACGCCAGGATTTAAAAAAAAGAAAAAAGACTGTCTAGGTTTTCTGACTTTTACAATGTCCTGAAGAAAGGATGAAGAGCTTCATCTCCCTCTCTTTATGTCTAGGCCATGGAACTCCTCAAGCATCATCAAGTCTCCATTGCTTGGAATACATATGCAGCAAAACGAGGATTTGGGGTTCCCATTCCTTTCCTTCAACCCTGTAGCTGTTCCTTCTCTTTCTCTGCATCTACAGGTGCTGACTCTGTGCTTGTTGACTCAGGATAGCACAGACCAGGCTGGGAAAGACCACGTACATAAACAGTTCTACCATTTAATTCCAAAAGGGGACTCCTAAACACAGGCAGCGAAGCAGGGAGGAGGCAAATACTCTGCCAGACTCAAAGGAGATTTCCCTGCTGTGAAATGCAACAAAGTGGCACAACCCAGCTAGATCAACTGTGTGGATTATCTGAAAAGTCTACTTTTCTAGCCGATGAAGAAGCTGTATATGGTGTATATAAAGTGATAAATAACATCTAACAGCCTCACCACCAAGCAAGTCAATGTTAAGAACTGTAAGAAATTATACAAAACACACACACACACACACACACACACACACACACACACACACACACACACACGGTGGGTACTAACCAGATACTCAGAAAATGCTAAATATCTACCAACCCACATTGACATTTTAACTCAAGCCATCAAACTAATTCCATTCTGGATCACACACTGTGTTATATTTTCCACATTCTTGGTCCTGGATTTCATTGTGGTACTACTGTAAGAGAAATGCAGAAAGAAGAAGGAGGAGGAGGAGGAAGAGAAGAAGAAGAAGAAGAAGAAGAAGAAGAAGAAGAAGAAGAAGAAGAAGAAGAAGAAGAAGAAGAAGAAGAAGAAGAAGAAGACAAAATCCAATCCAAGACCACTATAGTGGCTGCTTCTTCCTCCAGCTGTCCTTCCTGCCTGGCCTGAGCTTCTCTCTAGTCCTCTTTTCAGTTTTCACTTTCTTCCTTTATATACCTCACGTTGTGGCTAACCAAAGTCCTGATTTTCCAGCTTCGTCCCGTTTGTTCCACAGGTACACCGAGTCCTTTCCCACCATCCCAGGAAACAGACCTGGGGTGCTCATTACATCCTTTGCCCATCCATCTGTCTCAAGAGATTCTTCTAGGCAGGATACAGCTAGGGCCTTACAGGAAGGAGCCCATCTCCTCTTCTGGTTCAAGAGTTCTTGGATTATAAAGCAGAATTAAATGTTTCCTTCAAAGAGAAACTTCCCTTTGGAGTCTTGAGGCTGAAAGGAACACTTGAAAGAACTGGGATGTTTCCTTCAATTTCCAGTTTCTGAGTGATAACTCTCTCAAAGAAAAGTAGTAGCCATGGTAATACATGTCCTCAAACAAGTGAGTAGAGGCAGACAGTTACTTCAAGCATATGGTCCATGGCATCTGTGACTCACAAATGAATCCTCCTGACTTTGGTTCTTCTGAACCTCCAGGAGATCTCAAAGGTCTGTGAGCAATTGCTCACAAGGTTCTGCTGTGCACTTAGCTTCCCAGAACCAGGCCTCCCCTCCGCTTTTTGAGCTGGGCATACTTGATAGAGGATATTTAGTTTTCTATTTAGCTGCTCCAGAAGTAGATAAATTACTCTTTGTAATGCTCATGTTTCTACCCCACCATGTTTCACACAGATGTGGCAGCTTTGCATTGGAGCATATTTGATAGTGCCTTGCAGATGTATAAATAAAGTGGGTTTTCCCATACTTTTTCTGAGGAGAGAGGCCTGCAATTTTTCAAAAGTGTCTATCGTGGTGCCATCCTTGGGAAATATCGTTGTTTCCCAGCAGAGATCAGAGTCTTTAGAGAATAGGAAATAGCACAGATAAGTTTTGATTATATGAAATCAATGTGAGAACTGTCGGGCTTGGGCTTGGGAAGACAAATGTAGTTGAGATGCTATACTGGGATTTTGATTTCCATGGCTGGGGCTATGGGTTCTCTGAGAAAACATCTCCGAGTATGGATTGGCCCAATGTATTTCTTCATCGACCTTATTTTAGCTTTGGAGAAATGGTCTATTTTAAGTCACACCATCTTTTTTTTCTCTATTTCTTACAGATTCATGAAGGTGGCAGGGAGCACAGTAGATGCAGTTACCTGGCAACAGTAGGTATTCATCATTTTTTATCTCACTTATTATTGGCTGCTGTGAAATGGAAGATAATTAGTTGTCACCAAGTTCACAGCTGACATTTAATAAACTACCCTTTATCTTTCAAGAAAAAAATTAAAATCACCTCTAAAGCTGTTATTATAATACATGTTGTCTGATAGTGCAATGACTTTATTTTGTTATTTCAAAATCATAACTGCCCCCCCAAAATACTGACACAAGTTGGAAATTTCATCTCTTAATGTACACTCTTAAATTAATCTGTCAGGAATGAAGGGTAATGGAGATTAAGAGAGGCGCCATTTCCCTGTAGGCTTTCCCTTTGGAAGTAAATTTCCCTGTTTAAGAGAGGAAGCAGTTTCAATTGTTCAAAATGTCATGTGAAAATAGAATACTTTATTATATTACTAGCTGTGGTGTTAATTAGTGCCAAGAAATTTGATAATATAAAGCATGTTAACAGAGAAAAAAGAATATTAAGAAAATGATGCAGCTCCCAGAAAAGGGATAAACCTCAACAGTCCAGTAAGAAGCTCACACTGGCATCCTGTTATGGCAAGCGTTACTTGCCTTGGAAGGGTAGCTCTCTGCGATGTACATTTAAGTTTTCTGTGAGTCCCCTTCTGGGTGTCTGTGCCATGGTGTTGGGTTGGAATCCTTTTCTCTCCCTACAGCATCTCAGTCATTTCTTGATGTGATGCAGTTGAGATGCCTCCCACTCCACACCCTGCTAGCTCAGACTATGACCATCCTTCTTAGTTAACCACTCCCACTTGTCCGTCCCCTGTTTTGTGTGTGTCCATTATGGTACAATGAAAGCATGGAAGGAAAAAGAAGTGGATACAATATTTATTAAAATATCCAGAAAGGACTTTTGGGTTGTTTGTAGTCAATAACTCAAATCATTATGGGAACTGTTTTAGCCTATGTGTGTACTTAGTTTATCTAAACAGGAAGTTTCAGGGTTTTTTTGTTTTTTTTTTTTTTTTTCAGGAGTTCTTGTCCTTCATCCTGTTTTTGTGAGGCATAGAATATCCATTTGTCATCTCTTTACTCCATAACCAAAAGTCAAACTTCTCTTCCCAGGCCTTTGGATTTACTGTCTGTTGTGGTTTGAATGAGAAATGTCCCCCATATGTTCATGTCTTTAAACATTGGTTCCCAGTTAGAGGCCCTGTGGAACCTTTAGGAGGTGGAGCCTTGTTGGAGGAAGTGTGTCACTGGGGACAGGCTTTGAGGGATTATAGCTTTCCTCACTTCCTGTTCTATCTACCTCCCAACCCCCCAACCCTGTCTCTACCTTTACCTCTCCTTCTTTTCCAGTCTCCCTCCCCCCTTCTCCTCCTGTATGCAGATGAGATGAGATCATCCTTCTTCCTGCCTACTGCCATGCTTTCCCTGACTGATCTCAGTCTTCCCCACCATAATGGACTCTTCCTCTGGAACTGTGATCCAGAATAAACCCCTCCCTCCCCTAAGCTGTCTTGGTCTTAGTGTCTTATCTCGGCTATGGAATTAATACACTACCTCCTGCTCTCATCTGGCGTCATTTGGCCTCATTTATGCTGTCCCAACCGGCTAGAGGCTTTCTTGCCCCCGAAGGTTACTGGATATGTGGACCTCAGCAGTTTTGTGCATGCTGTTCCTTTTGTTGTCTCCCTGTCTAACCATAACTAAACCAATAATTATATTTGGTACAGTTGTGCCATACTGTATAATTAATGCAAGGATATTCAGACTGAATGACGTAGAAAACCCAAATATTTTGCCTATAGGAGACACATTTTAAGGTCTTTGAACCATTTTGAGTTGATTTTGTACAAGGTAAGAGCCACTGTGTCTAGTTTGATTGTTTTATGTGTATATGGATATCTTTTCACCAATGGTATGTTTTTGACACATTTGCCAAAAGTAAGATAGCTGTAGCTATGTGTGAGCTTGCCCCTAGAGCCTCTGTTCCCTTCCACTAGTCTCTGTGCCTGTTCTCGGGCCTGCTTCACCAGAGGACGGGCTCCTGCCGTTCCTCTCACTCTCTATATTATTTGAAATCAGTTGTGGTACCTCAAGCATGGCTGTTTCTAATCAGGGTTGTTTTGTCTATATGAGGTCTTCAGTGCTTCCATCCGAAGCATAGGACTGTTTTCTACTCGCGAGGATATTTCGTTGGAATTTTGATGTGACTGCACTCAATTTGTAGGCCACTTTTGATAGTATTGCAGTTTTCATATTATTTTGTCAATCCATGAGCTTGAGAGAAACTCAGAAACTGGAAGGCAAAAACACTTCAAAACATAATCACAGGCAAGGATTTTCTAGCTAGCACTCCAGTTGTCCAGGAAACAGTTTACAAGACCTGACAAATGAACTTGCATGACATTGAAAGCCCTCTACACAGCAAAGGAAACAGGTAACAAAATGAAGAAATAGTGGTCAGAATGGGAAGCTATCTTTGCTACCTCTACATCGGACTAGGGATTGATATCTAGAAGGTATAAAGAACTAAAAAATTTAAACATCCAGAAAAGTAGCCAAATAACTCTGTCAATAAGTGTGTAAATAAGAGAAATCGTGCTTCTCAAGAGACCAAGTGCAGATAACCAATAGATACATAAGAGAGTCCTGCATCCTTAGCCACCAGGGACATGCAAATCCAAAGTATGGGGAGGTTTCCTCTCACCCTTGTCAGAACGCCTGTCACTGAGGCAATACCAAGTAGCACTGGCCAGGAACCCCTAGGTGACCGTGGTGAAAGTCACTGTGGAAGTCAGTTTGGAAGCTTCTCTGAAAACTAAACGTGTGATTTCTTACGGCTTTTCAGACATTGTTGTTGCTGTTTTACCCCCTTTCTGTATTTACCTCTTTACCCTAAGAAGCCTCTCTTTTCCACTTCCTTTACAAGATCACTTGTACCCTGCTGTTCTCTTTTACCCTCCTCCATCTTCCTTCTGTATTGACCTCCCTCCCACTCCCTACAGAGCCCCCCTTTTCTGTTTCACGATCAAACCTCATGTATCCTGTTACTCCCCTCTCGGGCAATGCACCCACTAACTTTCCTGGTTTCTGCAGTTACTATTACTACAGGATCAGGATATGTATTCATATCTGAATATTTGGAGTTAGGAGCTGCCAGTGAGGGAGAACATGTGACATCTGTCTTTCTGGGTCTCAGCCACTTCACACAATGTGATCTTTTCTAGTTCAGTCCATTTACCTGCCAAGTTCATTATTTCATTTTTCTTTACAGCTGAACAGTATTCCATTTTATTTATATATATGTATATGTATGCCAATAATTATTACATCATAGTGTACATATTCCATATATATATATATATATATATATATATATATATATATATATATATCACCACGTTGTCATTATCTATTCATTGGTTGAACGATATTTAAGTTGTTTCCATTTCTTAGTTATTCTGAGTAAAGCAACAATGAACATGGCCAGACAAGTATCTGTGGACTAGGATATAGTCCTTTGGGCATATGTCAAGGAGTGGTATAGCTGTGTCACATGGTAGACTTATTTTTAGCTTTTTGAGAATTCATCAAACTGATCTCCATAGTGGGTGCACCAGTTTGCAATCCCACAGAGCATATTTTTGATGACATAAATATTAGTAATACAACATCTACAAAATGTTAATTTGGAAATTAACATGTTTAAAAATAATCTATAGCTCAAAAATAAAACCACAAAGTAAAATATAATAATTATAGATTATTATGAAAATATATGATATCAAAACAATATTCAGCAAGAGAGGGACCTTTGCAGAAGTCTAGGCCTTCCCTGCTTATAGTAAAAAGAAGAAACTGTCAATCAGTGATTTTTCTTATCCTCTGAAGAAGCTAAAAAGGAACCAACAACCTAAACCAAGTAACAGAAGTGTAACAGATAAAACAAGCTTCATGTAGATCCCCAAACCACAAGCCTAAAGCAAAATAACAACACAGAATATTCATAGCATTTCAGTTATGCAAAGTACTAGGATAGATTTTATAAACCAGAACAGTGACAGACTAGGGATATGGATTAGGAGGAAAGGGGCGGGGCTTCATGATTGCCCATCTGCACAGGAGTAAGCACTTGTCCAAGTTCATCAAATGATATAATGAAGATTTCTGCATCTCATTATGTGTAAAATATACTTTAAAAAAGAACTATAAACATTAACTCTGGTTAATTGCACACCTAATGACTTGTTTAGAATAAAATTTACAAACTACAATTTATTTTGAAAAACCTAAGAAAGTAAAATGGATCAATGATTGAGTAGAGGGATAGATAAACTGGTAGGCATATGGAAAATAAATACAGTAAAATGTTAACTATGTGGTAGATATGTGATATCTACTATATAATTCTTTCCACTTTAAGTTTGAAAATGTTCTTACATTTGAGCCAGATGGTGGTAGCACATGCCTTTAATCCCAGTACTTGGGAGGTAGAGGCAGGCAGGCCTCTATGAGTTCAAGGCCAGTCTGGTCTATAGAGTGAATTCCAGGACAGCCAGGACTACATAGAGAAACCCTGTTTCTAAATAAATAAATAAATAAATAAATAAATAAATAAATAAATAAATAAATAAATAAATAAATAAATAAATAAGAAAGAAAATATTCTTACTCAAATAGGGAAACCTAAACTATTAGATATAAAAATATCATATTGATTATAAAATAATACAATGCCATGATACTATTCATGAAAATATGAATGAAAAAATGTCTTCATTAAAGAAAGTAAAACATAGAATTATAGACCATACTTCAGTGGCATAAAGTTGAACATAAAAAGAATACCAAAGAAAAGATACCAATGGATTAATAGTGTTAGGCTTTGGATGTGTGGAGTATGGGGGCTCTTTTTTGTTCATTTTTACTTTTCTGTAATAGCTAATGTTTTATTATAAGTATGTAATGCAGTTTTGCTCATGTTAAAGAAATTGTCAATGCCCAGCTCCATCATTCCTGCCCT